TGTAGATAGAGAGATTGTATAATCAGCTATGAATCAAGTGCACGGTCGTGTAAAAGTGTTAACCCCCTTTTAGATTTTTGTTTTCATCCTAATTCAGTGTTTTAAATTTCCTCTTAATTTCAGACAAAGATTGGATGACTAAGTAAGTACAAGATTCAGTTTTTAAGGGATCCCCTCTTCTATCAGAGGGACACATCTTCCCAAACGAAATTGACCCTATATGTGAAGAAATGGGATAAGCTACACTTTAAAAATGTTATTATCACTATGATTGTTCGCAAACCTCCAAGAGATCCGTTAGAGTACCACCACCGCATCACTCTTTTTATTCAAGTAAAAGTAAAATGTAGACATTTTACTAAATACTCAGCAGGAGTTAAAAGTATTCCCTAAAGTACCAGATCTTGCACATAAAAGTTCTATGAATACATTGATTCTAAACATTAAAACAGATGTTAACAGATGTTAAAACAGGGAGTACTTTAAGTATTCCCTAAAACCTCTACCGAAGTAGTAACTGTTAAACGGCCTGTACTTATAAAGCGCTTTTTTAAGTCAGGATACTTGACCAAAGTACTTTACTCTACATTCAGTCAATCACTTACACACTGATGGTGGAAAGCTACATTGTAGCCACAGCTGCCCTGGGGCTCTCTGACAGAAACAAGGCTGCCGTACACTGGTGTCACCGAGTGTCTCTGACCACCATTAGTAGGCAATACAGGGGAAGTCTCTTGCACAAGGACACAACGACACAGAAAGCCGGAGCCGGGGCTTGAACCGAAAACTCTGCTATTGCAGGGCAAACTCCAGCACCCGACGCCACTGTCGCCATAACAGTTCTTTTCTCTTGTCAACAGTGTCCTACCTAGCAATGTGGCAATAAGAATAATTGTCTTGATGCCAAAAAAGGGGACAACAGATTTTGCTTTCACAAGTGGAGCAGTAGGGTTAGGGTTTATCGCCATAGTGTTACGCTTGATTTATTAAGATAAATAGCTTTATTATAATTCATGCAAGGAGTATTACAGATTATATGGACTCTGCCATGAGAAAGTAGAACAGGAAAGGAAAAACAGGAAAAAATGAGAAAAGATGAAAGAGGAGGAGATAAAAGGGAGATAATGAAAAAACCTCTTCAGTCTGCTTCATCACCTGCAAAGAGATGTAAAAAGAACAACACAACCAACAGATATAGTATAAGAGATACAATAAAGTGGCATAAAGTGAATCTCTAAATGCCTGGAATCAAGCACCTGTAGTTGTTTGTGAGAGTGCACTTGTGCATGTAAAGTTTATCCAAAGGAAAAATGCTCAATAGTGGTTGTGAAGAGCCAAAGGCGTGCCCCTCCCAGAGCACCAAGGCGAGCACCAGGGGAGCCAAAACCTTCATTTTTGATGCCTTTATAAGTTTAGTGCTGACGCGTGGCTGAATCATCTTTGCTATAGCTGCGCCATCGAAAAGTGAGTCTGATGCGCGTTGGGTGGAGCTACCCTACTCCTTTGCTTGTAACAATGGCAGATATATTTGCTGTTATAAGTGGGTAAAAAGTACTTTTAATCTTTTTAAGTGCGAAAGTCCACCTGAAAACTTCATCAGTGCAGTCAGTTCATCCAGATTACCATCCTGCCTAAATAAATATTATTTCTCTGTCAGAGCCGCTCAGACCCCTGTACACCGGCCATGCTCTGTCATTAGGAATCCCGTTCAACAGCAGCCTCTGGGCTGGCCGCCTCTTCACGATTTTCCGCTACTGTTCGCGGCGGCTGGAAGGCGTTTTTCACGTACGGAATCCAAACTGCAGGCTCCAGAATAATAAAATCGAACATATTTTGCCGGCAGGTTTCGATATTTTAAGTTAGTTTTTAAGTTAAACTGTTAATTTTAATAAACTTTTCAGAGGAGTGATCATAGCGATCTGCATCAGCACTCCTGTGTCTGTCTCCCTACCAACTCCCAGATCAGCTTCTCTGATTGGTTGATGTGGGGCTTCGAGCAGCAAAAGTAAAATTTTTCCAACTACAGCAGCTGCTGCTTCTGTGTTGCGCACATCAGATGCTCTGAAGCTCATGAGGCGCTGCTTCAGCTGCTCAGATGCACTGTAAGACCTTTTGCTGCACCTTGCTGCGCATCAACCATTGACTTTGCATGTAAGCTGCTTCTGCTGCCTCTGTTGCTTTAGGTGTGAACGTAGCATTACGTTAATAGACTATATTAATTAGGCTATGTGTGCTTAAAAAAAAAAACAGAAATTCCACCATCCCTCTTCTTTTATTTTTACAACTACACAACTGGTTACTCAAGTAAAAGTAAGAAGTAAAACTACAGAGAAATTATTTTTGCTCCAGCCAATGTAACTGAGTACATGTAACTAGTAACTATTGGCCTCTGCTAATAACATGAGGCAGGATTAAACAAACTGCCATATTAGTCTGGAAAGTGGGTTTTCAGACTAGAATAGTCTGAAAAATTAACACCATCATTAGATTAGCTTCACTGGTTTTAGAGTAAAGCGGCTTCGACATGGTAGATTTAACAGCTTTGCCCGGAGTTCAGTCGCAGGAAGCTGCCCAGTCTGAGCAGCAGCGAAACTTCCAGCAACATGATCTTCATTCATGAAAAAACCCCAAAAACAAATAAAAGTCAGCAGTCCTCTCTACAGCAGATGCCATTTTACTTACACTGTAGGTAAACTGGATAATTGTTTGCAGGTGATCAAGATTTGATTAGCTTTCCTACCTGCTCAAACCAAAATACTGTAAAAGAACTGCAAAAATCTATTTTTTTACTTAAAATAACTGCATTTGTTCTTCAATTGAGGAGGTAAGTGAGCCACCTTGCCAATGGAACAAGATGATTTACATTTAAAATAAGAAAAAAAAATTGCATTGTTTTATTTAAAGTTGATATTATCCGATTATCTTATTTTAAGGAATTTTATGGGATCTCCAGTATCACCAATTGTAGCCAATCTTTACATGGAAGAAATGGAAAAGAGAACTTTAGACACTTTCAATAGAACACCACCAAGCCACTGGTTTAGATACGTGGATGACACTTTCGTCAAAATCCAGCTAGAGGAAGTGGAAGCTTTCACCAAACACATCAACTCTGTTGACCGTAACATCAAATTCACCAGAGAGGATGCCAAGGACAACAAACTACCCTTTCTGGACTGCCTGGTGAGCATGGAAGGAGATGGAAGCCTAAACATTGAAGTGTATAGGAAACCTACTCACACAGACCAGTATCTTCTTTTTGACTCACACCACCCACTGGAACACAAACTCTCAGTCATCAGAACCTTACAACACCGGGCAGAACATGTCCCTACTAAAACAGATGGGAAGCAAAAAGAACAGAAACACATCAAAGATGCTCTCCGAAACTGTGGATATCCAAACTGGGCTTTTATCAAATCAGCAAGGAAATCCAAAAGACACGCAACAGAAGACAGCGATGGGAAAATTAAACGCAAAAACATCACAATCCCTTATGTTGCTGGAGTGTCTGAAAAGCTCAAGAGGATTTTCTCCAAACACAAGATCCCAGTACATTTCAAGCCAAACCAAACCCTTAAACAGAGGCTAGTGCATCCGAAAGATAAAACCCCCAGACCGAATATGAGCGGAGTGGTATATGCTGTTCAGTGCAGTGAGGAATGCTCTGATCTTTATATTGGAGAAACCAAACAACCTCTCCACAGACGCATGGCCCAACACATAAGAGCGGCCGCCTCTGGACAAGACTCTGCAGCACATCAACACCTTGTGGACAAAGGACATTCTTTTGAGGTCCAGAATGTCCATATTCTGGATAAAGAAAATAGTTGGTTTGAGAGGGGCGTGAAGGAAGCCATCTATGTTAAGAGAGAAAAAACACCTTTAAACAGAGGTGGTGGACTGAGATTCCAGCTTCCAAAAACATACAATTCAATCATAGACATGATCCCTTCCAGATATCACCAAACCCCCCACCCCATCACAGAGGAACGAGGGACCTACCCGCTCCAGCCGGTGAACAATACCTCCTTAACGACCAACCCTTAACAATCATAGACAGGTTTCAGGTATTACAGGAGACAATCCCCCCCCTTAATGGCAATCCCCCCTTTAACGACCGACCCCTAGAATCATAGACAGGTTCAGATATTACAGGCTAACGATGGAACTAAACGACCCATTCATCGGTTACCATTTGCATGTTTCCAAGCAATACAAGGTCATGTCTATATAAGACTCAAACTCACTGCGGATCCAGACATTTGAATTGAGAAAGCTTCCTGGAGAGGTGGCGAAACGTCTTCAAATCTTGAAAACCAATTCCAGTGGATATTTTTTGAATTTTTACGGAATGACTATGACCTGGATGCCTGAGAACCTTCATCAGCATCTTATTTAAAGCATAAAATTACTAATTTTATTGGTAAATCATCTTGTATATCTACTCAAATTGAGGGTAAATACACTTGATTTAAGACATTGTACTTATTTCTAGATTGTTTTTGCAGAGAGTAAATCAACTCTGGTCTGTTTCATCCAGAACAAGCAGCCTGATTTTTTTCTAACTGGCAAATGAAAAGTTTAGTCTCTTCTAAGTGTGAAAAAAGCATAACTGGGGGAAATCATAAGGGAGACACATGGGTTTTTTCCCCCCCAGCATTATATGTGCTGAGCTTCAAGGAATACATGCTGAGAAATTTGCAATAAACTCTATAAAATATAACATCATCTATGAGCAGAGAACTTTGTGGAGCTCTTTGATTTATGCGACAGAATATCGAGACGATGTTCAAATGATTTGTGAATTTCACCACTGGTTTGTGTTCTTCAGGACCACTGAGCATCTTTCTGAGACAAACGGGTCTTTGACGGAGGATGAAGGGGAGCTTTGTCAGACAGAAGCCTTGGGATTGTTTATCGCTGCCAATGTGTGTTTGCTGCCTGTATGAGAAAGAGATTATGTGGGTGTCTCTAAGACGGCGTGTGCCTCGGCGAGGAAGAGATTGAGTGGCACGCCTGTGTTTGTGTTTGGGAATAAAAAGGAAGCCGGAAAAAAATCAGGACAAGAGTTTTTCTGATTCTATCCACATTTTAGTCTGATATCAGCAGACAGAGAGGGTGTTTACATGTCAACAAAGGTGGGAGTGTGTGTCGTAGGGGGAGTTAAAACGAAAGCAGAGCATCTTTAACACTTTGCAGCTGATTTTGAGGCCCTTTAGAAAGGTAAGTCAAACATTTGTTTTCAACTAGCCATCAGAAACATCTGATTGTTGGTGAACTGTCTCAAAATGTCTTCAAATTAACCTTATTAGTTAATATTCTGAATACATTTACTCCTATCGGTCTCCGCCAGTCACGTGACATTTGTTGCTAAGACGCCATTTTTGGTGGAAAAGGCGTAGTGTAAACAACCGCAACATAGCTAAACGAAGGACTAAAGGATTGAGTTTGTTTATCTGACTATATGGGAAAAAGTAAACAGAATGCGAAATTACCGTACCGGTGTCGTGCCAAGGTAGTTATCCCTGCGAAAATTTGTATCCCCTCGTCGGGAGCGCGCACGGAGTAGGAAGAACAACCCGAGTTAACTCCGCTTCAATTCCAACGTGCAGAACTTGAAATTTTGAAAGGTTTTACGTGTATGAAAGTTGAGCTTTACTGTTTTATTCTTTACTTCACGTGTTGTAGCAGAATATCGCCAGTGATATTGATTTAAAACTGATTATAAAACACAAACGTTTGCTTGAAAGCTGGTCGCTGACAGCAGTGTCTACTCCTCCCTCTGAAAGCAAACAGATCCTTGTTCTTTTCCACACGTTCCTTTAAAATCTCTCATTGTTTCACAGTGTCCAAATGTTCTCATCCCATTGAAAACGGTTGTAAACCATATACTTGTAATAAAAATGAAATAGAAAATGGAGTGCACGTGTAATCATTAAAGACTATATGCAGAAGGAAAATATTTTTTCCTGGTTGAAATTTAGTACCTAAATCTATATTTGTGTTTATAGTAACGTACAATTTATCTATGTTGTACTATCCTTAATAAACAGTTTGTGTTCTAACATCAGCCGTTTTATTTCACCCCATTTTGCCATAATTGGCAATATGGGATAAAATAAAACCTGCTGTAATCTGTTCCCCCTGTCTAAATCAGACAAAAAAGGCCCCAGCTTTTTTATTTTTGGCTTATAAGCATCTTTTATGATGACAATTTATTCCTGAAACTTTTGATGTGATTGACCTTTATTTCTTAAAGTTATAAGGGGGGAACAAATTATAGCAGGCCACCTGCTGTAATCTGTTCTCCCCTGTCTAAATCAGGCAAAAAAGGTCCCAGCTTTTTCATTTTTTGCATCATAAAAGATGCTTATAAGCCAAAAATGAATAAAACTCCAAAGTTTCAGGAGTTAGTTGTCATCATAAAAGATGCTTATAAGCCAAAAATGAAAAAGCTGGGACCTTTTTTGCCTGATTTAGACAGGGGGAACAGATTATAGCAGGTGGCCTGCTATAATTTGTTCCCCCCTTATAACTTTAAGAAATAAAGGTCAATCAACTCCAAAGTTTCAGGAGTTAGTTGTCATCATAAAAGATGTTTAAAAGCCAAAAATGAAAAAGATGGGGCCTTTTTTTTTGCCTGATTTAGACTGGGGTAACAGATTACAGCAGGTTTTATTTCATCCCATATTGCCAGTTCTGGCAATATGGGATGAAATAAAATGGCTTATGTTAGAAGACAAACTGTTTATTAAGGATAGTACAACATAGATAAATTGTACGTTACTATAAACACAGATATAGATTTAAGTACTAAATTTCAACCAGGAAAAAATATTTTCCTTCTGCATATAGTCTTTAATGATTACACGTGCACTCCATTTTCTATTTCATTTTTATTACAAGTATATGGTTTACAACAGTTTTCAATGGGATGAGAACATTTGGACACTGTGAAACAATGAGAGGTTTTTTTAATGAACGTGTGGAAAAGAACAAGGATCTGTTTGCTTTCAGAGGGAGGAGTAGACACTGCTGTCAGCGACCAGCTTTCAAGCAAACGTTTGTGTTTATTATTAGTTTTAGATCAATATCACTGGCGATATTCTGCTATAACATGTGAAGTAAAGAATAAAACAGTAAAGCTCAACTTTCATACACATAAAACCTTTCAAATTTCAAGTTCTGGACGTTGGAATTGAAGCGGAGTTAACTCGGGTTGTTCTTCCTACTCCGTGCGCGCTCCCGACGAGGGGATACAAATTTTCGCAGGGATAACTACCTTGGCACGACACCGGGACTGGCAGCCTCTCACACAACACGATCATGTCATTTCTGGTAAATAATTGTGCCGAAATAACAGCCGCGTGTGGGTTATCTCGACTTTCCACCTATTATGGTGGTTTTCCCACGATGCACCACGCCCGAGGTAAACATTGACGTCACCTGGCGCAGACCGATTGTGTCGACAGCAGTGATGCCCGACCCATCCATCCCACCTGTTTTCTTTCTGGAATATTTCAACCTAGATGGATTTCTCTCTGCAGATCTGCCTCAATATGCTCCAAAATAGTTCACTAGGTTCAGCTACAAAGCCCTGAAGATACATTCATTTTGTAAAGAGGATAGGAAAAGCTGCCGTCAGAGATGCATCCAATTTAGGCAGCATCCCATTCTTAATCCAGGGGTTTAATATAAAGTCAGTCAAGCTTGCAGCTATGAGAGCTTAAACTCCTTTAGAGTTGATGCCAATGCCTCAGTTTTCTCTTGGATTTCCAGCCTGCAGAGGACATGCATCCAACCCTCTGCTTTGCACTCGGCGATGCATGTCTTGGTTGCAGCGGCTCGTCCATGGAAACCTATTTCTTGAATCTGTCCATGAACTGTTCATGAGTTGATCTAAAAACAATTGAAAAGTGAGGAGGAAATGTTGTGTATGTTACACGTATAAAAACATGTGGCCCTGAACTTGGAGGAGTTGATCTTCATCTCTACCGCTTTGCACTCAGCTATGAACCATCGTAGTGTATGTTGCAGGTCTTGGCAGGAGGGTGCCAGAAAAACAACGTCATCATCGACAAAACGCAGGAAGGAAATCTGATGGTCCCCAAACCAGACCCCATCCGGTCCTTAGCTGCACCTAGAAATCCTGTGCATTAAGGTTCTGAGCAGGACCAGTGACAGAGTGCAGCCCTAGAGGAGTCATGGACTGGAAACAGGTCTGACTTAAAGGGGAAGGCTGTTTTTTTTTTTTACATTGGGCCCTTGATTTTACGTTATTACATCATGTTCTACTCACCCATATGAGTTTTGTGTCATTTGGAGCCGTTCTGAAGATATTCCGTTAGGTTATATCCAAGTAACGTCTTCCTATCGGCAACGACTTGAAGGCAAAGACTGAGCTGTTCATAATTTATTCTTTATGGTACGCCAGCATTTACAATATGTAGGCGAATCACTGTCCCCCAGACATACGCGATTATACTTTTTATATTTCTATTTTTTTAAACAAAGCGGCGATTGTATGACGTCATCCGCGTGCGCCGGCTACCATTCATTCATCCTGTCCGCTGAACTGCTGCTAGTTTTACTCGCATGCTTGGAAGATGTCTAGTGCTACTAGCACAGATGATCTCGCTCTCCAAATGGAATTGAACGATTCAGATTAGCTAGCCGAATGAATAGAAGGGGTAGAGCGTAGCCGCCTGTGGCCCGGGCTGCCTGTTACAACTCCAGTCCGGCACGTGGATGACGTCATACACACTCCTCTTCATAGAACATGATGTAATAATGTAAAATCAAGGGCCCAATGTAAAAAATAGCCGTTCCCCTTTAATGCCCGCTCTGCTTGTACAGCAACCAAATGGCCCCTAGTAAAGGGTACAACTCAGTACTCCTGGAGCACCCCTTACAGCGCACCATGAGGGACACTGTTGAATGCCAGGTCAACAAAACACATGTGGACAGGTTGGGCAAACACCCATGAACCATGGAGAAACCTGCAGTGAGCGTAGAGCTGGTCCGCTGGTCCACGGTCAGGACACAAACCACACTGATCCTCCAGACTCCTGCACTTTTCTCTCCAGCAGCCTGACATAGGCCTTAAGGCTGATTTATACTCTGACACCAGGTCGTCTGCGTGTGTGTCGCAGTGAATGCAAAAGTGCCCCCGCCCCTGCTACAGACACTCTGCTGCACCTCTCGAAAATTGTAGGCAACCGCAGACAGGAGGCCTAAGATTGGTCAAATCTACATCCGCTCTACACTATGCGTATTTCCTGTTTTGTACCTTACTGGCTTTGTTTTGTTTGTATGACCGCCATTGTGGAAAATGACTGGTGAAGATGGACCAGCTGGACGAGCGAAGTTCGTGAGAACGCTGGGACCCTTTTTCCACCTGGATCCACGCTCTTTTTCGCCCTCATGTCCCTCAGTTGTCACACAAAATTGCCCCTTACATTTTTCCACTTCCTTCAACCACCACTCCAGTCTGCCAGTCACAGGGCACTGGTCCAGACCTGATGGACGTGATGAAGAGGCATGTCAGCCATTAAATCCTGGCTTTACATTAACAAGCATTGCAAATTCCCTCAGCTTTTATTACCAGTGATTTTAAAAAGTTTTTTCTGGAATCAGACAAGGACATACTTTTTAAAACAACAAGTGTGTGATATAAGGTGAAACCCTAAAAACAGAGAATTCATCATATTTCCACTTCACACAATGACCCATGTTTGATAACTAATGTCCTATATGGTAAACGGATTCTGAAATAAATTACATTTAACTATTAGATCTATTTGCTCTGAAGGTGACGTAACCAATGCTCTTTATTCAGAAACCCATTTGCTCCCATAACAGCAGGATCATACAATGCACAGTATTGATTTCATATGGCACCTTCCTATTATGTGACAGAGGACCGGGTTTTGCTGCAGTCCTAAACATGACAGGCATGTTGTTTCATGGAATGCAACAGTGCTGACTGGCTGATCCAATCATGTGACAAGACCATGTGAGAAAATTCAGATTTAAAGGTGCATTGTGTTTTAGAAAACCTCAGTGATAAAGCTAGGTCCATGTGTTGTGTGGAATCCAACAGAGAAGAAAGAAACATTTAACTCAAAACATAACGTCATAAATATTTATAATAACCAAATATAATAAAGACATTAAATATATATTCACTAAAACATAGCACATCTCAGGTAATTTGTACTTTTTCTTTTGTTTGGGGCCCATTTGTTTAACTACAGTATGCTGGAATCTCTGGATATTTGTGCACTTAAGGTTAAATTGATTTAGTTTTAGAACCTGGAGCAGATCATCAATTTAGGGAAACTCTACAGTTGGCCGATGCTTTTGTATGGAAGAAAAACAGTCTCATTGGAATCTGCCTTTTTTTTTAACACCGAATTTTAAACACTGAATTTTTTTAACACGCCGCCGGCCCCTTCGTCCGGTCAACACATATGCGGCTGAATTTTTGCAGCTGAATTTTTTGAAGCTGAATTTTTTTCTGGTGATTTTTTACCAGATAAAAACTGAGTGTAAGGAATTCAATGTCTAAAAAAATTTTGTGTTTAAAATTCGGTGTTCAAAAAATTCAGTTTTTAAAATTCGGTGTTCAAAAAAGGCAGATTCCAATGAGACTGTTTTTCTTCCATACTTTTGTTATCACATCAGCATCTTTATCTGTTTATCAATTAATGAGCAAAATTAAATGTGCAATCTGTTGCAGAATACATTTAGCATTGAGTTTAGTAGAAAATACCTGTAAATTGGAGGAGTGTTACTGATATGGCTGGAGCTAGATGGGGGGCCAGGGGTGGCCATGGCCACCTTAGCCCATCATTGGCCACCCCTGTGGACATTTTTTCCCTCTAATAGGGAAGGTGGCAGCTGTAATACTCTAAAGTGGAATATTCAAAACATAAAATTTTTTTGTAGTTAATTATACACATCAATATATTTACATCAAAGATGATAAGTACAGAATTCATGCTCTTTTCAGAACTAGATTTGGTGTTTTATGAGGTAAAGAGAAAATGTGTCTATGCAAGTCATCTAGGAGTCTTCATTGAAATCATAAATAACAATTTTAATAAAAACTTATCAAATAATCAGTTTATGTAGATATTAATGCTTGTATATGTCAATTTTATACAGAATGTTTATTGATACAAGTAATTATATCATATTTAATTTTATCTACTATACCTTTCATTTAGGAAAGAACAGATGTTTAAACACATGCGCCTATTTGTTAGCAAAGGCTGTAGGAAAGCATAGTTTGTCTTTATTTAGAAAATACGGATGTTTTGCTTGTTAATTTTCCTGTTGGAACAGTGTAGATTGACTCTGAGGTCCTGGCACCTATCCGCTTTCGGCCCCCCCTCAGTGTGCATTGGTTATTGCCTGGCCACCATTATTAAAATTTTCTGGCTAGTGTTGGCCTAGTGGGTTAGACCAGTGCGCTTGTGCTCTGAAAAGGTTGCAAGTACCTGTTTTGATTCCCAAATCTTCCACTCTTGGTCCCCGAGCAAGACCCTTAACCCCACACTGCTCCCCAGGTGCCCCACAATCACAGCCCACTGCTACCCAAGGGGATGAGTTAAATGCAGTACTTGCTAAAAGGTAATATCACATGCATTTAGTTGCAACACAGACCAACTGAAAGAGTGAAATTGAATCACCTGTGCGCTCCTGTGTGAGAGTATTTGTATCCTTAATGTGTCTCCATACAATGTTCAATAGTGGGTGTGGGAGCCCACTAGGGTTGGGAATTGAAAAGATTTTCACGATTCCGATTCCCTTTTCGATTCTATGAAACGATTCGATTCTTTATCGATTCTTTTTTCGATTCCATTTTGGGGGAAAAAGGAGAACAAACAGTTTGATTATCAGCATCAACTTTGTTTACTTAACTATTGCACAATCTTACAAAATCAACAAGATCAAGATGTCCACAGGAAATGTGAAACTGGAGTAACATCTGTGTTTAAATGAAAAATGAATACAAGAACAAACTTAATAACCAACAATGTCTAATAACAAATGATGGGATAATAACCTATTTTAAATAACAAAAAATACTAATTATAAAACAGTAGTAGGGAAAATTAACAGTTATTTTGCAGAAAGATGAGCATATCTGCTTTTTCTGGAAGGATACAGGATCTTTCAGGGCTTATGGTGTCTCCAGCCGTGGAGAACACCCTCTCAGATGGGGTGGAGGAAGCCTGCACACAGAGGTAGTTTTCAGCCAGTCCAGATAGCAAGGGCAGCGTATCTTGCTTGTTCCACCACCACAGTGTGGCGCTATCCCTGCAGGGGATGGAGGGCAAGCTTTTATAGAGCTGGATTTCCTGATCTACCCTCTGGGCTAAGGAAAGACGGGGCTTTGATTCACAAGGTGACCGCAGCTCGTCGTCTTCCTCCTCGAATAGTTCTTCTAACTTGCGTAACTTGCGTAACTTACATAACTTACGTAAAAAACGTGACGTAACTCGTGCTCCCCAGAGCCGGCGCTCTAGGCTCTGGTGCTGCGGGAATCGAAAAAAGAATCGTTCAGCGAGCTGCCAAACGATGCCATGGAATCGGAAAATACGGAACCGGTTCTGAACAGGAACCGGTTTTCGATTCCCATGCCTAGAGCCCACAGACCGGCCCCTCAGGACACTAGGAAGACCAAAGCCGTAGACACATCATGGCTGATATGATTCATTATGATTTAAGCTATTCTTTGAACTTAAACATTGACAATTTAAAAAATTTACACTGAAGTAAAAGTAAAGTTTTTTGCGAGAAGTGAATTCATCCTAGGCATAAACGACTGAAGCCGTAACTTAAAGGGTTCTTTACACAATCTTGAACTACTTGTTTATTCTCCACTATTCCCACAGGGTTACAGTATTAAAGGCTGAAATAAATCCATATATCTCAAATAATGCCCACTGTTTCTGGAATATTTACTTCTGTACTATCAAAATCATTAAATCTGCAAGAAATCATCTCTGCCTCTTCAACTCTTGTTAAACAACAGTATTCACCAACCCTGACAAGCATCATTTATGTGTTTTCTGTGGGTTTGTGAGCTTTATAAGGCCAATGTTTATTTTTTAGATAATTACTTTGTTATTCAATAAATTGAGATTCAAATGTCCAGTTCCTGCTTGCTAACATCTTGATTATTCTATCCACTGCAAACCATGCCATAGCATGATACTGCCACCACCATGCTTCACAGTAAATGCATATTGTTCTTTTCATGCTTGCTGGAATAAATGACGTGTAACCATTAATAATCAGTATGAATGTATTAATATGTGTATGTAGCATACATTTTCAACCCTTTCTTGTTTTTCTTTTTTTTTTACCAGAAGTAATCAGTCCTCATTAGGAACAAAACGATTCAGATCAATTTCAAAAAGCTCCAAATTGTTTTGATTTTAATGTAAATTGACGCTTCAGGCTGAATTGATTGTTTTGTTTGCTTCTTCTCCCTTTAAGGCTTCATCACATGCTGACAGCATTGTTGCATCCCTGCTCTCCTCCTCCCTTCTCTCTCCTCTCAATCCGCCCTCCTCTCCACGCGCACCTACACTTCTGCATCGCCTCCTCCGGCAATAATGAGCAAGGATTCCCCGGAGGAGGAGAGCCGAGCTCCGGGCTCCGGAGGAGGAGGAGGAGCGGGGAAAGGAGGCTCCAGGAGGAACCGAGCGGACGACAATGTCACCATCCTGACCTCCTCCATGGATTTCTACCGGGCCGGCCGGAGCCGAGCCAGCAGCAGCAGCCTCACCTCCTCCGTGGAGCTGAGCTCCTCCTCCCTGGAAACCAGCACCCAGACGCGGATCTTTAAGATCATCGTCATCGGGGACTCCAACGTGGGGAAGACCTGCCTCACCTTCCGCTTCACGGGGGGCAGCTTCCCCGACAAGACCGAGGCCACGATCGGCGTGGACTTCAGGGAGAAGCCGGTGGAGATCGAGGGGGAGACCATCAAGGTAAAGGAGCTCCCTCCCCCATCCTCACCCATCAGCTTCAGCTCAGGGGATGACACGGCCTGTTGTTTTATTTTACCCCCAAACTGGGGAGAAAAAAAAAAAGTTTCATTACATTTCTGTGGAGTGTTTTTCATTTCAGGGATGGATGCAGGAGGAGGAGGAGGAGGAGGAGGTCCTTTGTTTTTCAAAACAAAGCAGGTCTATATGTCTGCAGGTCCTACTAGACAGGGAAGGATATTTAAGAGATTAGACTAAATTAATCAAAAAATTTAGATTTCTCTTATTTCATATATTGATTTCTGCTTTCCAACAAAACAAAAACAATCCACTGTACATTCTTTTCAAGTTTAAGACGTTTCGCTTCCCATCCAGGAAGCTTTTTGTCAGGGTTTGGTTGAGGTTTGTGCGATGGACTGGCGACCTGTCCAGGGTGTACCCCGCCTCTCGCCCATTGACAGCTGGAGATAGACACCAGCACCCCTTGTGACCCCACTTGGGAGTAAGCGTGATGGATGGATGGATGGATGGATGGATGGATGGATGGATGGATGGATGGATGGATGGATGGATGGATGGATGGATGGATGGATGGAGGGTTAAAGTTTGAGGACCCAAATGCAGAGGCAGGGAGGCAGAGGTGAGTTCTGTAGATTTAATGAGTGGTTCACAAACAACTGAGGCAGGAATCGAAAAATCCAACATGAAAAATAGTTAAACAAACCAGAACCATGGAGACATCAGAGGAAAACAATCACGACAAGGTAAGACAAAGTAAGCCGGACTTAAACGAGGAACCAGCACTGAGGAACTGCCCAAGGAGAGTATTTATGGGAACAAAGATAGGACTAAGGAGCAGATTGGGAGCAGGTGTGAAGAGAGGAGTCTAGAAAGGAGCCAGGGAAAAGGAGGGCAACAAATAAAAACCTAAGAACTGAAATATAACCAGAAAACACAACAAAATGAGAATTAAACCAATAAAACTAGAAAACATGGAGCAAAGTTAAACTGAATACTCAAAAGAAAACTTAACAGAACAAAGACTGTGACACTTTTTCTATTAAAATTTTGTTGGGCTACTGTATAAAACCTCAATCTCAACACTATTCCTGACATTTGGAATTGAAAAAGCTTCCTGGATCGGAAGTGAAACGTCTTCAAATTTGGAAACAAAGTCCAGTGGATTGTTTTTTAACTTTTTTTGGAATGACTATAAACTGGATGACTGAGAATCTTCAGCAGCATTGATTTCTGGTATTCACTCACAATAAAAATTTTCACTCAGCCTGCAAGGCCACACAATTCCTGAGTTAGGGGTGTTTTTTAGACAAGACATACTTATTCCCACAACAAGCCAGATTCTTCTTTAAAGTCGTAAGGAAGTCATATTTAAATGTCAAATCATTCTGGCTTAAACATGTATATAAATGTACTCTTTATCAGACGATATTGTCTTAAAATCTGTGTTTTTTTTGTTATCTTATGCAGGCTAGTTAGTTATACGTCAGCCTTCACACCTAAATTCGGCCAATCATATATCAACAGTCATCTGTCAAACAAATTTTTTCGGTCATAGTATCTTGATTCATATGTCGCAGCTAATGTACGCAACCGTTGAAATAAGAAATAAGAATCCTTTCCTTTCCCATTGAGTTCCGTCCCAGTGTTCACGGGGATGGACGTCTGTGTCTGCTGCAGACGTAGAGCTAACAGAACTGGCAGCGTTGCAAGGCAAGGGCTCAAACATGTACGACTGGAAGCCTTCTACACCAAACCAAGCTTCTGCCGCCCTGGCGTCCTCTTCCTCAACATCTTCATCCCCGCTTTCCTCCTCTAAATAAAAAATGGATGACGGAGGAGACTCATCCACGACCTCCAACACTAAACTCTCCTCCTCTTGCATGTTTCCTCTGTCCATAGCGTTCCTTGACAGTGTCGTTTCTAAGTCACCAATTTAGTGCTACTTGGTCCCAATGGAATTTACCATATGGGGAACTGGTTAGCAAGATGCTTCTGACAAACCGGCCACAACCAAACTTGCTTTTGAACCTTTCGCCGCAACAATCCCACTCTCATGATAAATGGCCAATCACATTCACTTTCATGTAAAGTCGTGCACCACTCGGGAGAATTCGGTAATACAGCGGTTGGAACAGCCGCTTCTCTACGACTTTAAGGTTTATTCATAACATGTTGATCCAGCAATTTTACTGTTTAACCAAAGTGTCTGTAATTTCTTTTGACTCGGACTACTTTCCATTATTCTAAGTAAGGGGGGACGAATGCTGTCCAGATCAGAACAGGGCTGACTGACTGAAATCCATCGATCTCCGTTTATTTAACTGGAGTGAATAGTTGAATACTTTTTCCCACGACAGAAGTCCTCAAAGTTTTAGTTTTCTGGAACATTGATGAACAATCAGCATCATGAAGACCATAGAGCACAGCAGACACGTCAGGAAGAACGTTTAAAGCAGGGTTACAGGTTCTGTAATAATGGCTCCAGCCCAAACAGATTAATCCGTAATGACACCGAAACTGTAGGTGTATCAGAGGTCACTATAAGTGCTTTAAATAGTAAAGGCAGTAGGAAAAGAGGTAGTTTCCTTAACATAGCAACCTCCTGATAGTTCTATTTGTCACTACCCGATCTGTCCTGCCATGCGCCATCAGCTAATTTGCGCTTCCAGATATACATCCGGGCCACCCTCAATTTTATTTTGTAAAAAATTTAGTTTTACCCTCCCCAAAAATATTAAACATACTAAAATATAATGTGTTAAAGGTTAATACTTTATTTCCTGAGAAAATAAATGCCTTAAAATCCTTTCTGTTTTATCACTCCTCTCTGCCCGATCTGCACCGGAAATGGGATCCTAGGTTACTTTTTCGGCTTTGGATTTAAACATAAATCTAGTGTTTTTGAGTTTTATGTTTTCCTTTCGTGTTAACATTATGGTATATAGTGTGTTATCCAAAGAAAGAAACAACTAAAAAGCAGATAAACTGTCTAATCATATTTTGCTGGACTGCTCGGAGCATGTCCTATGATTATGTCAGAGAAGCAGTTTAACGAATAAAATGTGAAAAGCATAAAAATTGTTTCACAAAAGTCATAAATAAATTTTTTTAAGATGTGTAATAGCATTCTTTAGAGAGTTAAGGATAAAAATAAGTAATTTTAGTACCATAATTACATAAATTATGGACACCTGGATGTATATCTGTTCGTGCATGTGCAGGACGGATCGTGCTTGCAGGAGGATCGGGTAGTGACACTATTTGCCGCATAGGAGCTATACAGATTCCCTGAGTCCTTTGCATGACAGGATGTACAGGCACAGCCCTCCAGTACTCTCTGTTTGAAACATTTTTTATATGGTGTTAGTCTCATTGTTATGTTTTCATCACCTTTCCAATTAGCTTTGAAATGAAAGAAATATATTATTAAAAGAAAACAAGGATGTCCAGCTCTTAGTTTGCACTACACATGTTCCCTTTCGTACACCAACAATAACGTGGAACAGAAGTGCTTAAAGGAACCAAGATATAAAAGAAATAGAATAGTGCCTAGATTTGAAATCAAATAAGACATTTTATAACCAAATCTAAGATGGCTGAGTAGTGAAAACAAAACAGGCATAATGTGTCCCCTTCTGGGAGGTTGAGCTGCAGCATTTAGAACAACAAACACATGGAAGATGGTCAGAATGTTTGGCAGATGGATGAAGCTAGACTCAGGAAAGTGCTTGAAGAAAACCTGTTAGAGGCTGTAAAAACCTGAGGTCCATTGTTTAGCAGATTGATGATCCAATTTTAACTGCAGTTTCTCTTTTTTTCCTTTTTATGTTTACAATCATGATCCTAAACATAAAGAAGGAGCAGGGGGGGATTTATCATTAATACTAGGCAGTTGCCTAGGGCCCCAAAGGTCTTGGGAGTCCCCATAAAACTCTGTTTACATGTATGATTAATACCACTATTCCTTATTTGTGCACGTTTATTATGTTTTTGATCAAAATCCTTTCTTTAAAATGCTATCAGAATGCTTATAATATTAAGTGTGTCTTAGCCCCCACTTCAGTGTCCACCATATTGGATCAGTCCATTTGCTGCACATGTTCAGACAGGTCAAAATAGACTGTAGCAAACCATTTGAAAACAATGAGAAGAGCAGTGTTTCAAACTTAGCACTTTCGTTGCTATATTTGTTGAATTTTCAGACCCCTGTAGCGCTTAAAAAAAAAAAAAGAAAAAAAAAAAAGCCAAATCTAGCACAGATGGAGACTTTGGAAACACGGGAAGGAGCAATCAGCTAAGTGAGCTTAGTGCTTGGAAAAAATCTTTCATTCCTTCTGAGACAGCCTGAAAAGTCAGCTGAGTACAAAAAAAAAATAGAGAGGAAAACAAGAAGAAAAGGGACAAAAAGGGAGGGACAAAACGTATAGCTGTCTGTATAATGGGTCTGTTTTATGTGTCGTCTTCTCAATTCAGAGGGTCCCCTGCCTGTCTTTGCCCAGGGCCCCAAATTTCCTAAATCCGCCCCTGAGTAGGGGCTACTGCCAAATCAAACCATATTAGAACAGGCATTAAGAATCAATATTACTATTACATCAATCAATCAAACATTGTAATTGAAATTTCAGTCTCAGTACCACCGTTTATCAGGGGGGAATGGATTGACTGAGGCCGTAGCACAGGACGCTGCCATTCGGCAGAACGGCACATTCTTATGGCTTCCAACCAGTAACCTGGCTTCCCAGGTCCCAGGCGGTTCCCTAATAGCACTGCCTTTTTATAAGCAACCTTAGTGTGATGAAAAACAGTACAAATAAGACAGAGTACCCAATGATGGTGAAGTTAAAATTAAAATTGCTTGGATTTTTTTTTTTTTTGGTAAATTAGTGCAGTTGTTCCCAAATGCTGGAACACGCCCCCTAGGGGTGGCTTAGTGTAATTCAAGGGGGTTGTTGTACAAATGAAATGAATAAAAACATTTTTTT